GGAGCGGGACCAGGAGCGGGAAGCGGAGCCGTGCCCCGAACCGGAGCCCCCCGGAGCCCGGCCCGGGCCGCCCCCCACGCGCTGGGGCATCTGCGCGGCCGGGGCCATCAGCCACGACTTCGTGCTGGCCCTCGGCACCCTGCCCCGCTCCGAGCACACGGTGACCCCCAAAGCCCCCAAAATCCCCCCAAATCCCCGGGAACCCCAAACCCGCCGTGAGCCCCAAATCCCGGGCGTGTCCCCGAATCCCGGGCGCGTCCCCAAAACCCCAGGGCGCGTCCCTCCCCCGCCGTTGTGCAATCCCAAACACCGGGGCTCCCTCCCTCCCCCCTAAACGCGGGGGGGATTTTTGGGGTGCCCCGGGGTTTTGGGGTCCCCGCGACCCCCGGCCGTGCCCCCGCAGGTGGCGGCCGTGGCCGCCCGGGATTTGGGGCGCGCCCAGGCCTTCGCCCGGCGCTTCGGGGTGCCCCGAGCCTACGGATCCTACGAGGAGCTGGCCGAGGACCCCGACATCGGTGAGACCCCACAAAAATCTGGGGTCCTGAGAGGATTTTGGGGTTTTTTGGGGGGGTTCTGGGTATTTTCAGTGATGAGTTTTTTGGGGCCAGGGTGTGTTTGGGTTTTTTTAGGCGTTGGGGTATTTTTTGGGATGTCCCCCTCTGATATGGTGCATGTGTGGGAGGCGTATGGGGGTCGGGGGTTTTATGGAGTTTTGTTTTTTTTGTTGTTTGTTTGTTTTGTTTTGTTTTGTTTTGTTTTGTTTGTTTGTTTGTTTGTTTGTTTTGGGGGGGTCGGGGCTGTATGGGGTTTTTGGGGGGTTTTGGCACTTTGGGTTTTTTTGGGTTGGGGTTGTTTTTGGGGTCTCTCAGGCTGTTTTTAGAGTCTCTCAGGCTGTTTCTGGGCTCCCCTGAGGCCGTTTTTGGGGGGAGGTTTTTGCTGTTTGGGTTTTGGGTTCGGGCTGTTTCCGGGCTCCCCTGAGGCCGTTTTTGGGGGGAGGTTTTTGCTGTTTGGGTTTTGGGTTCGGGCCGTGTGCGGGCTCCCCTGAGGCCGTTTTCTGCTCCCCAGACGTGGTGTACGTGGGCACGGTGAACCCCGCGCACCTGCCCGCGGGGCTGCTGTTCCTGCGCCGGGGCCGGGCCGTGCTGATGGAGAAGCCGATGGCGCTCGGGGCCCGCGAGGTCGCGCAGCTCGTGGGGACGGCGCGGGAGCGCGGCGTCTTCCTGATGGAGGTGCCCCTTCCCAGTGCTCCCAGTTTGTGCTCCCGCTGCTCCCAGTGCTCCCCATGACACCAGTCTGCCATTCCCAGTGCTCCCAGTTTGTGTTCCCGGTGCTCCCAGTTTGCTGTTCCCGGTGCTCCCAGTTTGTGTTCCCGGGGCTCCCAGTTTGCTTTTCCCAGTGCTCCCAGTGCCCCTCTCCCAGTGTTCCCAGAGCCCCCAGTGCTCCCAGTAGCTGCAGTCCCCCATTCCCAGTC